TCTCAGATTCATCAGAACATTATTTGCTGCCTCTCCCACACACTCCTCCAATTATATATGTCGTGGGTTGCTTGCAACATGCTTCCATCACTAAAGATGCATCATTTCACCTCTTCACATTGCTCAGTTTTAGTTGTAAACCAACACACAACCTCCGTAACACTAAAATGGACCAACGATTGAATCAACATGCTTGGAAACAAAAGTAAACAACTAAACATATGAACTCGTGAGGACTGAGGAGAAGAAAGCTTGAGGGGGTAATTGTGTGTGCGCGGGCGCGCTGTCCCTCCGTAGGGCAGTTGCAGAGTTATAGTTAAAGGCACATGCAAATGTTGGGCCCATCACAGAGATGAGAGTGAGGGGCAAATGCATGTTATTGGAACCAGCTCCACCTGCTAACTTGTTGCTGTGTGGAAGGCGACCCTTTGATGCTCAAACTCGTATATTTAAACATATCAAAGTGAAGGGCGTGGGCCATCCCAGCGTTAATTGAACCCTTTTCTTCTTGTTTTATAGTGCTTATAAATCATCCAGGGATCGTCACAGTCCTCAGCAAAGTTGGGAATATGGATCTCAGGTCTAGCTTCTTCCTCTTTCTCGTTCTTTCTCTCCACTGCTTCCCCGGAGGTTTGTGTCTTTCTCTCTTCTAATCAGCTACATGTATATATATTTGTTTTGTGGTGGTGGTGGGGTTTAATTAGAATTTGGCGTGCGTAATAGGGAGATCATGGCGAGTACTGGATTCAGAAATATCAGAGGAGACGTATGAGATTGATTATAGAGGCCCAGAGACGCACTCCTCTATTCCTCCACCTCATCCTTCCCACTCTTCCCCTTCTATTCAAGGCAAGTCTCCCTTCCAAATATATCATCATGTCTGTGTTCGAAAAATACATGTTGTCTTTTTTCAAGTATATATTGTGTATGTCAACTTATTTACAGAAAGTCTGGATTAGGATTACAAGATGTCGTTAGAAAGGATGGCATCAAGCCTTCTTTCCTCTCTACTGTTAATTCTCTCCCTCTCCAGGTAAAGAAAATCCGAAGATGAAGAAGCCTCATAAGTGAGCTAGAGTTTGTATCGTCAAACAGAAAGAACAACCTTTGACAGGTTAATGATGTGTTATGGAGGAGAATTGTAATCAGCTGAATTTTATTTTTTTTTTTAAAAAGGGGATGTGGATGGAGCGGTGAGGTGTGGGTTTGTACTTTGTACTGAAATGCAAGAGAAGGCACAATTATCAGGAACAGATGTACCATTTTTTGTCTTTGAATATGAAAGGGATCTATCTTTTGATGTTATCTTTCTCCCACTCATAAAATCCAGCCTCTTTTGGAGCAGTTACTTCTATAATAATTTTTCTTCCTTGCTAAAGTATAGGCATCTTTTTATCAGAGACAATCCTATTCGAGATATTATTAGATACTAAATGTAAACACTTCTCCTAATGGGAATTTGAATCTTAGCTCCTAACATCGTGAGGAACTAACTCTTTCCGCTAAACCTAACCCCCATGAGTCACTTTTACAATAGTTGCTTTTGTCTTGCAAGTTGTAAAATTTAATTTTAGCCCAATGCATGATGTAACTTTAGCACTCACAAACCATATAAATAAAGGAGAAAATAATTAAGCATATTTTGATCGGGTTATAGTAAAAAGTAAAAAATTAGTATTGCCTCTTTTCCGTCTGTCTAAAATTAAAGAAAAGTTTAAAAGAATTTATAAAAGTGAAGGCGGATGAATTAAATTTGGGCAATGGTAGAGAATAAAAGGGCAGAAAATCGGTTACAGGCGATTGGATGCGGGTTGCTTCCAATCACATTCATTGGTTGGTCTCCTCTCTGGTCTCATTTACCATATCCTTCTTCTTCTCCTCTTCAATTCTCCTTCACCAAGTCCACGCATTTCAAATTTCCCAATTCCGCAATGGGTTTGAAGGATAATCGCGATGAGGAGGCCACTCCTCTTGTTCCCCAGTTTCAACATGCTGACAACAAGCCTAAAACGCCTCCGTTGTTACCGGAGCTGCCGGCGGCTCTCAAGTCTCCGCCGCCCCTGGAATCTCCTACTGCTAATGAATATGGTTGGACCGCCGACGGCCTTCCCTTTGTACATGGCAGTGCGGTGGGCGAGCCCATAGGCCGAGCTCAGTGGAACTCCAGCATTTGCGCTTGCCTCGGCCGCAACGATGAGTTTTGCAGCAGCGATCTTGAAGTTTGTGAGTCTCTTTCTCGCTGTTCATAATTTCTTACGTCTTCGGTTTCAGAAAAATTTGAGATGTGAGCTTTGTATCATATCAGAATACTTATATTTATGTGGGCTGATGCTGTATGAGCTAACTTCGGTTCGATTTTTATTTATGATTGGCGAGCCTCTTATGATCGCTCTTTCAAATGAATGAGATTGATTAAGAGCAAGAATGTATAATTTAATAGAATCAAGGAAACGGAAAAGAAAAAGAAACAGTCCCTTGTCTCATTATTTTTCTCTGCTATTTTGTGAACAAAAAAGTGCCTGACATTTTGGGTTTTCTTTCTTATTGAAGCTAATATGTAAATAAATCAGTAAATGGGTTATCTTTTCCTATAACGTGATTTCAAATACGTCTTCTTTGTTTGACTGTACATTTTTTCTTGCTTATGGGTGGTGATATCTCATGCGATTTATTTAGTGCCACTTTTGTGACTTAGAAGACTTTGTGGATCTTGAATTCTTTTTTCTATTCGATTTGTTTTTCTCCTTAAGATATTGATTTCTCAAGACGTTTTTAATTTTTCTTATGCTCAAACTCATGACACGGAGGGAATAGGCCTTCTTGGGAGCGTGGCTCCATGTGTGCTCTACGGAAGCAATGTCGAGCGACTTGGATCTGCTCCTGGAACATATGCCAACCACTGCTTGCCTTATTCTGGTCTGTATATATTTGGGAAATCCTTTTTTGGGTGCAATTGTCTTGCTCCTTGGTTTTCCTATCCCAGCCGTACTGCCATTCGTCGCAAGTTCAATTTAGAGGCAAGTTGTTTCCTTATTCTTTCCTCCACATGTTATCTGGTGATCATATTTCCGTTTGGCTAAGGTGGGCGTAAACTCACTAATTTTGGATTAAGTGGGCAACTTTTCTACTTGTGTGTGTAGATCCCGCGGAATCAGTTTTTGTTGTGCTTCAAGTTTGTTCATCTAAACGGGAGATGTTTTCAATATTAATTGTGCATTGCTTCAATTTACACGAGCTATTATAGTTTGCTCACTCACGAGACACGGAGCTATGCTTCACATGCGTCTGTCTGTTCAGATTCTGAAGACATGAAAAATCCAAAACCAAGAAACTCGTATATGTGTCACAAATTCCCCTTAAACGCATATAACTAATTGCATATTAGATTGTGAAGTAATTCTCCTATATGTGTGACGAACATTCGCATCTTTATGCTGCCACATGACGAATGGATTAAAATATGTAAATATCAGGGAACTTGCGAGGCACTGAATAGGTCATGTGGGTGCTGCGGAAGCTTTGTGATGGACGAAGCGCAGCTGGAACAGTACGAGACAGCGTGTGACTTTGCAACACATGTGATCTGTCATTCGTGTGCTCTTTGCCAAGAAGCTCGGGAGCTGCGTCGCAGGCTGCCTCATCCGGGCTTCAATACCAAACCAGTGCTTCTTATGCTTCCCCTGTAGAGCAGACCATGGGGCGTGGGGCTTGATATTATTCTTCCTCAACTTCCCTGTGTTTTGTTCTTCTCTCGTGTTTCTGCGGTCTCCGGGGAATTTGATCTCGGATAACTTTGTTGAGCCTTTTACCTCGTCTCGTGAATATGGTCTCAATACCAACATAGATGTCATGTACTTGGATAGCGTCTTCGTTGTGCAACACGAGACACCTTTTTTTTTTTTTTTTTTTGCGTTTTGCTGTATTTTGAGATCGGAGATATGTTGGATATATGATATATATTTGACTGATAAATGGATATAGACTATTTACTATTTTTCTTCCCAAATCAGCTGTTGGGAATGAAAATCTTTTATATCTTCAAGTTTCTGGAGATTTCCATTGTAAGTGGGAATTCGGATACACTGTTGGTGGAAAATAGCGGCACCATGTTGCTGATTCCCAATCATGCTTTTTTTTTTTTGGGATATAAAGGCAAATGATATTAATAAAAAAGTAAACATTACAAAGTCTTAACTAATAATGGACACCAGAGAAAGAACTAATAATAACTTCAACATTTGTATACTTGTATGTACGAGAAAATAAGGGCAAGAAGGAAAAGATGTCCTCTGCAATGACGTTTCCTGATCCAACTTAGCTGCTTGTAAGACAAGTAACCTGCTTCGCAATGACCATAACGATCATTCTACAATCATACATCTGAACGGTCCGAAATTTTTATTTCAACTTTATCTTAATTTTATTATTGTCCTCTCAAGGCTAACATTTGATAGATTATTTATTTATTTTTCTTTTTCTTTTTAAAATAAAAAATATTAAAATGAATATAATCAATATAATATACATTAAAATTTTACCATCCAAATAAATAAATTCTGAATGACTTGAGGGTTTTGGATTAAATTAAAAATCACTTTTAAAAATTCAAACTCTTCCTAAATATATACTAATTTCATATACCATAAAATCACTTTTAAAATCATAACTTGGTTCGACTATCCAACCCTTCATTCAACCCTTCCTACATCCAACTTTCTTCCTATTAACCCAATTTCTAATTCATCGCTTCATCACCCAAAAATCACATAGTTATCCCCTTCAGGGTGACTTCGCTCAAGCAAATTTTGCATGACGTTCGCTTAAGTCATACAGATAGCGGCAGCCTAAAGTATCCTTAAGAACGGGAAAGACGCATCAAGAAGCTCAACACAGAGATCCAAAATACTTGAGCAGTTTGACATGCTTCACATGTATGTTTCTATCAGAGAGGCAACAAAAACGAAGCGGGACGCTACTCACAGCCCGTGAACTCCTCAAAAAATGCTGAGATGAACCGTTCGCTTCATAATATTACTCAAATACTAGTTTATCTGGCCAAGTTCAAATTCACTAAAAATACAGATGGACAAGATAAAATTGGCATACTAACGATCATAGAAAGAGAAAATTTTTCAGAAGAGTACACATTAACAACACACACAGCATACAGTGAATACCAAATCTCTACTCTCCAGGTGCAGAAACGCCTTGCTTCAGTCTCTCCCTCTTCATCTTCTTCTTTGAGACTGGCTTCTTTTTTCGAGGAGGAAGGGTTCTCTGCGCATACAGGTAAAGGGCATAATTTCCAATGAGGAATGTCAATAGCAGCCCTCCAACAACCAGGAGAACTATTAACCCTGGATTGAATCCTTTGGCTTCAGAATTCTTAATCACATCTCCCTAAATGACATGATAGGAAAAACACATAAGAAAGAAATCAACAAGAAGAAACTGCGAAATTAATGCACACAGATAAAAATAATAGACAACTAATTCACCACTTACAATTCTTGAACACCATTATAGCCGGAATACATATCAACTACAGCTTTGATCAAGGTGGGGACTCCATTACTTTTCTTTTCTTTTTCCTTTTTCTTTCTTTTCTTTTCTCTCTCTTTTTTTTTTGGGGGCGGGGGTGTTGGGGAATGTCCGAAAGAAAGCCCACTTTATATGACATGGCACAAAAATGTCTATACTGAAGATTAATAATGTAAGAAAAACATGGCCTTCGTTAACATGCAAATGCTGTCACAATGAAATGGAAGATATTTAATCTAGAATTTCACCTACAGAGCGTAATTTCCAGGACCAATGGACCATTATTTTCCAAATTTAGTGCCGAACAATCCCTTAAATTTTGTTACATATGAAAGCGCTTCTCCTTGAATTTCTTACCAAACTCCTATAGCAATTTTCAACACACAAGAACTGTAGTTGATTTCTTATCACTGAATTTGTTGTCAGAGCATGACTATGGCCAGGCCCTACTTCTCCATCATCTTAACCATGTGAGCATCAAGCCGATATATTTGCATTAGTCTTATTAATCATACAGTGAATTAAAGGAATTGTGCTGTACGCAACACCTCAAGTGGACTCCGACATTTCAAACCATAGCTTAAACACTATGCACGAAACTTCAAATAAAGATCAAATCGTTAGGGCTGTAGATATCACTACTCCGTTAAAATTTGAACAAGAACACCTATATCAATATCGTTGTTTAAAAAAAAAAATTTGAAAATATCATGCCTAAATGATATTGACCCCATAGCAGAATAATTCAAACGAATCAAGAAAGCCTTTTTTATTAAATACATGGAGACACAATAAAATTCTCTCTTAAGATAGGCGAAAAGCACAGGCGTGAATGAAAAAACCAATATTTTCTCATGTAAAAAACTAACAGTCAATGTCAAAATAAATGTCGCATTTTGGCCTTTGTTTGTGAGGAAAATTTGTTGGCCATTGCAAGAAAAACTAAATTGCCCTTCAAACTCCATTACGAATTCGAAGATCTGAGCTGTAAAGAACACGCCCACTCTCATGCATGGCATGATCTATTCCAATTCTTAGCAAAAGAGGATTTCAGGGGTCGGCAAGGGACGTAATTTATAACAATAAATAAATACATATAACGATTACACCACAAGAATATATGGATCATCCAAAGTATAAACTCATTGGCACAAGACAATTATCGCTCAAACGTGTCATTTACAGATCTAAATGATATAACATGCGATCGTGAAAGAAGCAAAGGATGAAAACGAAGGGAAGACAGAGATCAATACCACGCGATCGAAAGAAGGAGGAACTTGATCAGAAAAATCAAAGTCATCGGCCATGGCTGCCGCGCAAAATCTAACAGATCCACCCGCTTCGCGAGGTGCCTGGTTTTCACAGCGAAATGAGAAGATTCCAGAAGAGAGGCAGACCGCTAACGCCGTAATTATATAGCGCTTCAAAACGTTTATTGGTCCCCCACCGCGCGGGGTTAAGTAACGAGACAAAATTCCTTTTTTTTTTTTTTGAAGAAAAGTCAGCAAGACAAGCAAAACATATGCGTATTCATAATTTATAAAATTAATAATCGAAATAAAATAACACGAAATTTTGACGTAAAATATTTTTGACATCTGAACATAATGTGTATAAACATACACAAGACAAGACGGAAAATTTAAAAAGAAAAACAGCATCACTTGTAAATTATAGACATCCTTATGAAAAAATATAAAAATTTCACAGAATAAAAAAAAGAGGAAATATATAAAAATTAATCTTATTTTTTATTTTTTAAAAAAACAGATCATTTTTATTACAAATAATTTAAGTGAAAATTAATTATTAAAAAAGTTATTTTAATTTTAATTTTAAAAAATAAAAAATATTTTAAAAATGAGAAATCAAACAGGCCATGGTTTCGGATGGTTGGGCCCTTAGTAAATGAAAAGAAAGGGGGGAAACGTTGGGGCTTGGGGCTTGGGGCGGGGGAATTTGGAGCCCGAGAAAACCACTTGCATTGAGATGCGAGTACCAAACCGCTCATTTTGGTTCGATTTATTGCAGTAGTTTTTCTCAAAGGAAACAATGTCATGCATGTAAAACAAAGATGCTTTACCACCTGAAAAGTCAGTGAAAGCTGGATGTCACCAGCCGACGCACTCATTTCAGAAACCCAAAAAGTTTGCTCCAGAGAGACGTTGCTCCCAGATTATTCTGATTAAATTAACAACTAATTACACACGCAATTGTCTCTCACTTTAATAACATTATCGTCACATACATATATTATGATCCGTTGCAATATGGAATTGTTATTATTAGAGACAAAACTTCCAACATCAACATCATGGTTCAGCTGTCCCCAACCAGTGATGCAACTCTTTCAAAGCCCAAGTATGAACGGAGAAAACTCCCTCTTACTCCTCCTCTCATGCTTCAACCAAACTTTCCCCTCGAACTCTTCCCCTTTTTTCACAACAGGGCTGCTTTGCTTATTAAAGCATCTACAAACCAAACCACACCAATCACAAAGAAGACTCGTTCCTGCCCTTCTAGTACCCTCCCATTTTAATTTTCAAAATGTGTGTCCCAGTTTACCTACATGCATGAATAAATGAATACTTATGTATATACACTAATGAGTCAACAGATAAAAAAGAAAATGGTCCGGCCGTTGATTGGCGTCAGACGACATCTGCAACGTTAAAGCTGTTGTCTGAAGATGAGGAAGTGACGGCGATCATGCCATTACAGTCAGAGACACTGTCCTGCAAGTTCATTAAGAGGTGCGATGTGCTATAACTAGTGGATGGCTTCGTCCTTGGAACAACTGGGACATCCGCTTCCCCTACCAACATCTGTACCACGGCCCTCATCGTGGGCCTGTTAAACGGGTCGGGTTGAGAACAAGCCAGCCCGACTAATAGCACCCTCCTCATTTCTGCTTCGTCGAACTCACCACACAGCCTCGCATCAGCAGCCATTAGCAACCTCCCTTCTCTGTGCAGGCTCCACACCCACTCTACCAAGTTACTGCTCGCACCTACTTTACCAGCACCGTTAGCATCTTTCTCAATGGGTCTTCTTCCGCAGGCCACTTCAAGAACTACCGCACCGTAACTGAATATATCAGTTTTCTCTGTGGCTCTACCTGTGAGGAGATACTCCGGCGCCAGATAGCCCATTGTTCCCGCCGCCACCGTGGCATCCGGCGACTTGTCGTGTTCTGTTTGACGAGCTAAACCAAAATCGCCCAAGCGGGCATTGAAACCTTCGTCTAACATTATGTTACTTGTCTTCACGTCTCGGTGAATTACCTGGTTTTCGCACTCCTGATGCAAATATGCGAGGGCTGAGGCAACGCCTAATAGAATTTTAAGCCTGTGAGGCCATGGTAGAGGTGTTCGGGCCTCGAATAGCGCTTTATCTAGACTCCCATTGGGCATTAAGTCATAGACTAATAAGATTTCACCTTTCTCGTGGCACCATCCTTGAAGACGAACAAGATTTCGATGTCTAAGGGACCCAATTATGGATAATTCAGATAAGAATTCGTTCTTCCCTTGACTGCTATGGCTGCATCTCTTCACCGCAATGATATCACCGTTATCTGGCAATATACCCTTATACACAGTCCCAAAAGCGCCGTGACCAATTATTCTATTAGCATTGAAGCACTTGGTGGCTGATTTGAGCTCCTTGTAGCTAAATTCTTTTGGCATTTTGATGATATCTGAGGCAAGTGACTCGGCCTTCTTAACGCGTTTGACCTTTTTAGAGTACACCCAAATGAATGCACCGGCGAATAAAGCCAAAACGAAGGCCCCTGCTGTCACAATTCCCGCAACGGCTCCAGGATTTTGCTTACAGAGCTCATTCTGACAGGACGATTTACTATTCTCTGGTTGAGTATTTGAAGCTGCAGGAGCCAATGAAGGGGGAGGCGACTTCACGGAACTAGCGGTTGAGTTCATCGTACTTAGAGTTGGAGGCGGCGGCGGAGCAGATGAACCTGATCCAGAAGGCAAATTGGAGTCAAAGGAAGAGCTAAAGCTCCACCACTCTAAGCTGTGGACCTCTGTACTCCCCTGCGTAGAGCCAGAGAAACCCACATACATCAAGTCATTTACGTACTGATCCAGATCAAGATCGAATGAGAGTAAGGGATCTTTCGGTCTAAGATTTGAGTACGAAACCCAGATGTTAAAGCCCCTTGTTGAGCCGTTATATTCGATCCATGCGTTCACAAGATCGCCACTTTTTAGATCGATTCCAACAGATTCCAAGTCACCAACATGCGTCGAAACCACACTATTCAGGTCCAGACCCACATGATTTCCGTTAATGTCCTTGAACTCAACATCCATCAGAGTGTCGAATTCGACAGCCAGAAAACCAGAGGAAGAGCCGTCCCCTTTAAGGAGGCCAAGGAAGCCGCCGGCATCACCGATGGTCTCGGCATCCGGCGAGATTAGGAAAGCGAGCCCCCCTCCAATGGAGGATGGATTCAGATTGGTAATTGAAAAGGAGAAAAAGGTATTGAAACTCGCCGGAGAGTGAGTGCCGGGTTGCCTGAATCTGACTGGTTTAGAGTAGAAAGCTCTGCCGGCACCAGAGTTGGGGACGGCGAGATCCCTAGTGAGCCTGACACTGTCATTGTCCAAGTGCGCGTCTCCGAGAAGTTTGAGACTGCTCAAAGTCAGGGTGCCAAAGTCGAATTCAGTGGTGGCGATTGTAACGACGCTGTTGGTGAAGCAGAGAAACAATGCAAAGGGGATAAAGACGATGGTTGAGAATACGCAGGAAAGTAACAACATTGCTCAGTTTTGTTAAAATCCCATTGCGAAACCGTGGCGGAGAGTGGCTGAATTGCCGATATTTTGCGGAGGAGGAGGATAGCTCACGGGCTAACCGAGGGGGCGGAGCGGGAGGGAGGGAGATGAAGTTGCGAGTATTCTTTGCCTTAGAACGGAGCGAACCCAAGCAAAGAAACAAAGACTGAGACGTGGGTGCGGAATCCCAAATGAGAGTAAGGAAGACAGGTGGATAATCATGCTGACACGTGTCCTCTCTCAACGGTAATTTTTCGGTGATAAAGAAATCTTTATTAGTAGTGTTATTTTTCTCTTTGGTAAGTGTAAAGCATCCTTTTAGATACTAGGCATCAGGACTCACGTCACGCGGTTGTAAGAACGCGTAAGCATCACGCCCCACTAAACTGATAATGTCAAAAAGAAACCACTAATCCATGGCATATCTATCAGACTGTCAATATCAATGCATCACACTGTAAAATTCATTAAAAATCGTTGCCCCATTGGCCCCCCCAAAAAAAAAAAAAAAAATCATTTAAAATCATATTCATCATCAGCGATGAATGCTTCAACACATCTCAAATTTTAAATTCGAAATAAAACATAACAATGATATTTTAATTATAGCAGATGAAAATAATATATGGTTTCAATTACCGTAAAGGTTTGATAAATTCTTTCCCCGAAATTTATCCAGATAACCAATAACAAATCAGAGTTTTGTTTTTCCCAGGAGAAGGAATCACAGCTTGATTTGCCTTGAGTTGAAAAATGCATTGCCGTCGTGTTTAAGTATGTGCGGTAATTTGGGGGGGGGGGGGAAGAGTTATTAAAAAAAGGGGGGGGGGGGGAAGACAGGAGCACGGTTCATTTAGTGGGGCATGGGGGATGAGGAGGGTGCCACCATATGTCCATATTTGCCACTAACTCCAGCGTTCGCACGCGACGACGGCCGAAGAAAACAAATAATTTGGCTCAAAAAGTAGGCATCATTTAGCCAAAACAGCTTTTTAAGAACGCAAAAGGGAGTGTGAACTGCGAAGGAAAACAAGATTAGAAAAAGGCATCATATAATATATGGACATTGAAGGGCAGCTCCAAGAACGGCAGCACGTGATGAGAGACGAAACATGAATTAAGAGTCAGCGACTTCTGGCCTTGTGGCTGCATAATGTTAAAATTATGCTTGAGGGCCATGAAGAGGGAGAACAATTTTTTTCCTAGATATATGATGTGTAATCTTAAGATGATAAAAAAAAAAAGATGGAGGCCCAGAGTGAAATCACACTTGATGACACACATAGAAATATATGAAAATATGCTGGTTTAATTAGAAATTAACAACATTCTATTTCTTACTAAAAAAATTTGTTAAGTTTGTTATTTGTAATAGATAGGTGTTTTTTTTTTCAAAATACCCTACTAATCATATGTATTGTAACTAGAACTACTATTTGATAGAACATTTAACATTTATAGTTACTACAAAGACTACTTTGAAAAAATAATAAATACAAAAAACAAAACGGATTAGGGTCTTATATTTAGGATCAAGTTAAATGTCAAATAAACTCTTATATTACCTTCGGTCCTAAATATAAGAGTTAGTTTATTAATTTGAGGTGATTGAGAAAATAAATTAAGTTAGTTATTTGTAATAAGTAGATGTTTTTCCTAAAATATCCTTACTAATCAAGTTTATTGGCTGAAACTACCATTATTAAAATGACTATCTTACAAAAATAAATAAATATGAAAAACAAAATAAATCCGAGTCTTATACTCCTCGAGTCCTTAATATAGGAACTAATTATTAAGTTAATTTTGGTCCTAAATATAAAACCTATTTCTTATATTTATTAAAAAAAATTTAAATTACTCCTATAGATACTCCCTCGACTATAATTAAGTGAGGAAAGAAGGATATTAAGAAAGATTATTATGATATTTTAGAAAAAACATGTCATATTTCTTATAATTAATTAACTTACTTAACTTCCTTAATCTAATCAAATTAATTAAATAGATCTTATATTAAAAACTGGAGAAGCATTCAAGATCAAAATAAAAATTAAATTAAATCTTATATATTAAAGACGGAAAAATAATACTACCTCTAGTCCTAATTATAAGAGCTAGTTGACTAATTTAAAAAAATTAAAAAAAATAAGTTAAGTTAGTTATTTGTAATACATAGGTGGTATTTCCTAAAATATCTTTATTAATCGAGTCTATTGGCTATATAACTTCTATTATTAGATGAACTATCTTAAAAAATATATGAGACAAAATAGATTAAAGTATTATAATTAGAATTAAAATAAAAATAAAATAAGATATTATATTAAAAATTGAAAAATAGTACTCCCTCCGTTTCTTATTATAAGAGACATTTGATGCTTATGGCATGTTCCTATATATAAGAGACACTTACAAGTTGTCTCTACTTTTTTGTGTTGATTTACTATTTTACCCATATTTATTATCTCCAACTCACACTCTCTCTCCCTCCCACTTCTCTTTCTTTGAATAATTTAATTTTTCTCTCTCATACTCTCTCTCCTTATTAATGAGGGTATTTTTGGAAAAAAAATTATACTTTTTACACATTAATTGTTCTTAACTAATTTTAACTGTTTTTTTTTTATCAACGTATTTCGGTTATTTGTCTCTTATAATAAGAAACGGAGGGAGTATTAAAAATAAGGGGTAGTGGAAAGCCGAGGTGGAACGCTGGCCTGGTGGCATGAAGTCCCAAAGCCCCCACAGGGAGCAGGGAGGGTAGCGGGATGCAAATGAAATGGGCGACTGTTTTTGTTTGAGCGTACGTTGGTGTCAGTCTCAGTTGTGGGCATACACACCAATTAAGGTAATTCATAGGATTTGCTATTCCTTTCTCACTCGTCATACTCCCCAAACACAAACACACATTACCGAACACACTTGTGTTGCGGAGTTATTGTGTGTGTAAATTACGGCAACAGTACTAAATACGCCGTCACGCATGACATGAAACGTCTCTCCATCCAAATCTTCCTCAACTATCCCTCCACCCTCAGTCGCTTTCCTGATTCAGTACTCTCCCCAATCAAACCAATTAACATTTACAAAGGAATTAGAAGGAATATATATATATATAACACATCCTTGTCATGTCAGCAAAACAACGAACAAATTAATGAAGAGAAATTAGCCCTGTTTACCATCATAATTAAAATTATTTATAAGCACATTTTATATAATTCATAATTGAGATAAAATTTCTCTCATATATTTAACTCGTATTCCATAAATTATAATTAAAAAATCATTTATAAGTTATTCCAAACAAGCCTATTATCTGTACAAATTCGCAAATTTAAATAGAGCTCTAGAGAGGGCATTTCTCCGTGTTTAAAGACTAAGAATTGGTTGCGTGTGGCTCAAAAATAAAATAAAATACTTGTGTAATTTAGCCCTGTAGCTAGTGCAGTGGATAGAATAGACTTAAAGAACATGAATCATAATTAAATAAAATTGTTTGCTTTTAAATGGTAGAGGGATGGATACATTATTATTATTTTATTTATTTGACAGCATTAAAGCTAGCTAATGACATAATAACACGTACGAAGAATTTGTCCGTAAGGAACACAGAACGGTGCTATTATATTTATGCATCATTATCATCACACTCCAGCTTTGACACCTCCAAATGATTGCTTTGTTTTTTGTTTTTCCCTTGTAATGCCAACTTATGAAACTTGCCTCCTCTAAATCTTTGAATTGCAGTTAGAAACTGTAAAAGTGTCTTAAAATCTGTAAAACTGAGGTTACAAACTGAGTTAGATAAAAACTGTTGTTTGGTTAGGCTAACTTTTCCAACTAACTTCTGGCTTTCAATATCAATTGGACTTAACACAGAAAAATCTGATTGTTCAAACTGCAGCTTCAAAAGGTGATTATTAAAAATGAGCATCCCAAATTTACTCTCACATTTTTCCCTCTATCTCATTTCTTTCGTTAGCATAATAAGCTTTTATTCAGATCAAATAATTTTAATTTATATTCTTGTTTGTCCATTATGTATATTTAATTAATTATCTACAACGTGTTTTCAAATTTTTCTTCATAACAAATATTTTTATTTTATAATTTCACAAATAAACTATTTATATTTTATCATAATAATTTTACGTATTTTTTAAACTATTATCACATTAAAAACATAAAATTTCAAACGCTACTATTCAATAAAGTTTATACCATTTTCAATCATTTTAGAACTAAACTAACTTTTTTATTAATCATCCAAACAATTTTCAATTTTTTTAACTGACTTTTTAAAAACACCTATCCAAACATACCCTGACTAATTTTTATTCTAACTTTAATTATAAAAATAAATCAGTTGAGCTAGAAGTCGATTTTGTCTAACAGTAATCCAAACATACTCTAAATAGACCAAAAGAAAACAGAATGGTCACTTAACTGTGGCAACGCTAAAGACAAATGCACCCATGCAAAAGACGAGGTCGCAATTGCAGCCAATGTTTTATATGTCAGTTTCAAACTCGGATCTTATCTAGACAATATATATACTAGATATTTAATATAAAAACTGGTTTAATTTTTAATTTAGTCACAAATATAAAATCTAAATTTATTTTGTCTCTCATATTTATCTATTTTTTAAGATAATTTTTGTAGTAGTTACACATGTTAAATTTTTTATCACATCGTAGTTCTAGCTAAAACACATTATTAATAAAAGTATTTTAAGAAAGACAATACCTATTTATTACAAGTAACTAACTTAACAAACTACTTTAATTAGCTCAAATTAGTTAGTTAATTGTGATATTAAGAATCGAATGTATAGTACTATTATTGGGGTTTACAAATAACCCAAAAACTTGTAATTATTGAGATTTTTGGACTTGTAATAATTTAAATTGAATTTATAACTCATTTTTTTATGAAATTTTTTTGGAGACACAAATACTGTTAAATTAAATTCATGGAGCGTAAGCGTCTTGCTGCGACACAAGCTTGTAGTCCAACGTTCTTCTTAAAAGCTGTTGGCTATTACGGTTGATTTATTTCTGGGAAATCGAAGTTCAGCTGATCTCTCACAGCACCGAAATATATAAAAACAGGATTGACACCGCCTATTCTTTTGTATCTGGTTTGTTTAATGTTTAGTATGCTTAAATGGATTCCAGCTAAAAATCATGAGAGTTTTAGCTCCTGGATTTTGTTTTCTTCTTTTTGTAATGACTATCTCTTACGCATCTTTCGTGATAAGAAGGGGGTTATGATCAATAAAAAATTATTATATCGAGCCATTCTCATCTTATCAATATGTATATATATTACTCTTCCGGTCCTAAATATAAAACCTATTTTATAGTGTAAATTATACTGCGAAATGAATTTACACTATAAAAGAGATCTTATATTTAGAAGTGGAGGAATGTAAAATTAAAATGATCAGTAATTATTGAGCAGCTAGTCCCCTCGCCGTTTTATAAGAAAAAGGCATCAGAAGTGAATTAAACATGGGGTCCGACACATATGGCAGCAACCTGGTTTGCTAGAAATACGTTGATGTTCAGAGGGGCAGTGAAGGAAACAAGTAATAAAATATTCAGAAAAGTCCAGAAGGGAGGCTATTATGATTTATGAATGAAGGTAATACTCGGATGGGACAAATACATGTTGGGGCCCATATATTGATTCTTCCATTCTGTGTGTTTCGGCCAGAACGGCACGTCGGAACCCATTTTAGGACTCCAAAAACATAAAAGGACGAAAGGAAACTAGGCATGGCCCAAGTATAAAGTGATGCCCAAGAGTGGCAGAGCTTCCGACTTGGGGTTGACCTAGCTTGGCCCAGTCTTCATTTTCTTTTTTTTCTTTTTGATACAGATGAAGGCTTACAGCCCAAAACATCAAATAAAAACCAAGGGGGAGTAAATCCCAAACTCTCAAGTGAGCCCCAAATGCTTCGATTGCCGCGGACAGGTATCTAAAATACAAGATTTAGATATCCCCTCCTTTGCCATAGCACCTGCCACTTCATTTTTAAAATGGGAGGACCAACGAACTATACCTAATCAAGCCAACCCAACAACAGGAAACAACGTAGTCATGAGTTCCGAATTACCAAGGAGGTCGAATTTAGTGAAAAGAATTAATTTATCACAACAGGATAACCCCAAAATTTATATTTTTATTAAAAAAAAAAGTATTTATATTTAGTATCCAACTTTATCTCAAATAGAATTGTCTTGGATAAGAGAATTAAGAACTGAGTTGTAATTTTTCTTATAAATTCAAGTTATGAACAATGTGACATTTTTTTTAAGATTCTACCCAACGAGTGACACACGTGTCATGCTAGATGGATAAATATACATATTTTATTGAAATTAAGAAGTGAAATGAATATAAACAGCATGTCGTGGGCGGGTCCAGACTGCAGACAAAGTCATTATTGTTACATTTGCCAACAAATAAACCGCACACACGAATCACAAGTAATGAATGATGATACGCAATCGTACTACAAGACAAGCAGAGGATGGAGCTGTCTCATGAGGCAATACCTCGTTGTGTGTCGCTGAAGGCCCACCCTGCTCGACAAACCCATGCTTATCCTCTTCTTTGATCACTCTCTTCTCTCTCTGTCGCTCTTACCCCTTTCCCACTTCCCTCCTAGTTCCTCCATTAATCCAACATGGTAACTTCTCTGCTCATTTCGCTTCCTATTTTCATCCCTCCAACAACATTCCTACAACCAGCATTTACACCCCCATTGTTTAGTTTCTCTCTCAACTTTGATTTCCCCATACACTTGTTTTATTACAGCGACCATGACTTCACGTTCAACAATGATGGTGGGTCTTAATTTTTTGCTCTACCCACAGTGTTGCAGCTCTACATAGATACATAGATATAAAGAACACGATTCATGAATGGTGGATTTCTGAGGCCACACCCTTGGCCCAGAATCGTAGAAGTTTTTTCATATCAGAAGCTGAACGGAGCTTGGAAATCTTCATATTTAGTAGTGGTGAATCTGGTCTCTTTATCAGCCACGCCTCCGATAGATATGGTCTCTCGATGTCTTTCTTCTTTTCCGTTGGTTTCATAGTATGATTTTCCCCTGTTTCTGAGGCATCAATTTTTTGCGTGCTCTGTTCATTTGGGCGAATATCAAGTCTCTGCAAGCCCGGGATTACACTCATCATTCGCGAGCTGATATTCTCTTTCTTGAATACGAAGCCCAGATCCATAAAACCCTTCACTTCTTCGAGTTCTAGTTCCCCCAGCGTCTTGCAGCTCATGGACTTTTGCAGCCTCTTTTTAGCTTGTTTCCTTAATTTTCCCCGTCTGTTTTGGGTTGACGGCAAAGATGAATGTGACCGAACTCTTTTACCTGAAACACTCATTAATCTAGTGGGGCCTTCTTCCTTTCCTTCTTCATCATTTGAGTCACCCTTTTAACATTAAGAACGTCAAACGAAGAACAAAAGAAGCACGGTCATGGGTCAATCCCACAGCAAAGAGAGCATGCCTGAACCGTAAAAGGTGCTAAATAATATTCGAGAGATTCGACTATACCTGCAGAGACGCTGAGATTGAATCTGATGAGACATGTTTCTTGAGGGATTCCTGAGTTGAACTTCCTTCATCTGGCAGAGGAGGCAAAGAAAGAATGGAATCAGAGGACGATGGGAAAGACAGAAATTCCGATGTAGACGAAAACGATTCGACAGTTTTGGGAGAAATTGAAGCTGTGCTTTCTCGCGGGGACAGAACAATTTGGTGAACCAAAGGCGTTCCATTGCTTCTATAATGCTGAGAGAGTTGCTATTATTGGTCATTGAGAAAGAGAAATCGGTTTTTTGGGGTCTCCAAGGCTTCGCTTAACACTTTGATTGTTATCGCAAGAAGGGTAAACGGGATGGGGTGATGGGGATTGAAACGAGGAAGAAGCAAGTGACATCAAATGGGTTGCCCAAGTGGGTGGGACACGGCCTTAGACAAAGAAGGTTGGTTGTGGATGTGATCAACCTAGACATACATGGGACGTGGATCTTAAGCTCCGCATGTTATATGGACGAAATGACGCTTGTGCCCATGCTTCCCAGGCCAAATCACCTTCCCCACGCATGTGGCATAAAATCCAAGATGAATCCAACTATGCTGAGCCAAGAAAAAATGCTCCGTCTCTCCAAGTTTGGGCGGATCCCTCACATGCAAGGAAAGAGCAATTCTCAGCAATATCTGGGATTTGGAACTTACAGAACAAATATTCTAAAATCTCTAGTACAACACAAGCTTAAAATTCAGAAGAAATATTACAGTTGTCACAGCAGCAAAATCAGATTCGCCGGCAGGTCAATCGGATGAGAGATTGGCTGGTAGATTTGGATTCAGATGCTTACTGACCTGGACAAAGCCGCAAGTTGTGCCTATTATGTTGTCTTTTCCGCATATATTTTTGCATCAAAAGTTGCTGCTGCTCTTTTAGTTCTGGGAATTTTGATTCCTGGGGCTGAGGCGAAAATATGCAATGACACGTAAGAAAGCAAAAAGTAAAGAGTTGTCACCAAATAAGCAGTAAAAAGACAAGTTTACAGAAGAATTTATTTTGTTCGGAAGCTTTTGAGGAATATGAGAGTCCAGAGACATATGCGAGCAGTCCAATGATTCATCCTATGACGGCCTGTGTGTGTATACTGTACAGCAACTACAGCCAAGAAACAACTGGGACTCACATCAGCGAGTTGTGAAGGGAAAAATATAGCTTAAAGTGATCAAATTGAATTCGAATACTGTGTGTGTCGTTTTTCAAATGGGTATTGGCTTGATGCATCTAAATTTGCGTGCTTGAGGTGATCAAATTGGGAGTCACATCCTGTTGTCCAATAAGATATTGAAATAGCTATCCAAGTGACTGTTCAACGTAGTTCTGGACATCAAAGTTCTCCTGCTCAGAGCAGTAAAGTGAATAAAAAAAAAATTTCTGGTTTCTTCGTAAAATGACATTGATTGCTGATTTGCTCAACCGATAATAAGCAAACATAATAATTGGCGAGGATTCAAAGAAATTTTCAAGAGAAACCGATTAATCCTGGGCCCTCTCCTGTCATGATGCGTCCGTCGCTCCATTTTAACGCCAAAATATTGACAAAGATCTGGATGATTTCAGTCCGTTAGCTGGGCAATCCATTAAACAAAATGGTAAAAGAAAATACCAAAAGTCCCGTTCACCAACAGGGCATTTGGTCTAGTGGTATGATTCTCGCTTAGGGTGCGAGAGGTCCCGAGTTCAATTCTCGGAATGCCCCGGCTTCAACACTATTTTCGTCTGCTTTATCAAATACCTAAACCTAACTTTATTATCCGGGACAACAAAGCAATTAAGGATAAAAGGCGGCGGGAAAGACTTGAGTGATAAATGATCATTATCACCGGGAATTTTTTTTTTTTTTAAAAGGACTTTATGAGAATATTTTATTTTCGTCTCCCACTAAAAGCAAGTTCTCAGCTCGCACGCATTCTCATTGTTGAAGATAAAAAAAACCAACAAATCTGAGTGCTCTCAGAGCGTGAAGCAGGATCATTGAATAGTATCATGCCTATGACGAATTCATCAACAAAATTTCACTAAGTTTACCAACTTAGCAAACGCAACCAACAACCAAGCCAGACTCAGCAATGCACAGAAAAATACCGTTGCATCCATAAAATGGAACATAATCTCCGCATAAAATTACCATCCAAATGCCAGAGTAGCTGCGTTTCATAATATCATATCATTATATATATATTAATGGATAGAATCATAGAATGACATATTCATAGGCAAGGCAAGGACATCCGATGGAATTCCACAATATCAGAAACGAAGAACAAACAAAAGACAACATCAAAAACTACATCAATAACTCCCCAGAAACAAATCTTGAACACGCAGTCAGCACCATGATGCAAGACATTCATTCCACATCCGCACCACGCAGCCTGAGGACAAGGTGAAGGGTAGACTCCTTCTGAACGTTATAATCAGCAAGAGTGCGTCCAACCTCAAGTTGTTTCCCAGCGAAGATCAGACGTTGTTGGTCAGGCAGAATTCCCTCCATGTCCTGAAATTTTGCCTTCACATTATCTATGGTGTCAGAGCTCTCCACCTCCAGGGTGATGGTTTTGCCGGTTAGAACCTACACAAAAATCTGCACTCCTCCACGGTGTCGGAGCGCCAGATGAAGAGTGGATTCCTTCTGGATGTTATAATCGGCAAGAGTCCTGCCGTCCTCCAATTGCATACCGGCGAAGATCAAACGTTGTTGATCGGGAGGGATCCCTTCCTTGTCCTGTGTCTTGGCTTTGACGTTATCGATAGTGTCAGAGCTTTCTACCTCGAGGGTGATGGTCGTGCCAGTAAGGGTTTTCACGAAGATTAGCATGCCTCCCCTCAGGCCGAGAACCAGGTGAATGACTCCTTCTGGATATTGTAATCGGCAAGAGTGCAACGGTCCTCGAGTTGCTTGCCGGCGAAGATAAGCCTCTGCTGGTCAGGGGGAATCCCCTCTTTATCCTGTATCTTAGCCCTGACATTATCAATGGTGTCGGAGCTTTCCACCTCCAAGGTGACTTGTCTTTCCACTTTCCAGTTAGGGCTTTTCACAAATATCTGCATATTCGCTCTGATGAATTGTCGATAAACAAAACAAGATCAGAAACAGATGGAGATATTTGTCAGTAATTAGAAAATTGGACGAGAGAGACTTTATATGAGAAAACATGGGCGACCTCCCGAAGATCCAAGGACCCAAGCTCAGATGGTGAAGATAGAAAACTAATTTGGGCATTAGGGATTGAGGCCTAGAAGATTCTCGCCGTTTCCGTCGGCAATGCAAGTTGCAGCTGCAGTGTTACGGGCCATAGACTGCATATTGATTGACATAGATGTCTTGCATCCCCTCATAATCTTTCGTTCTCTTTTTCTTATAGAATCTCATCTCTACTGATGAATTTCTCTTTTTCTTATAGAATCTCACCTCTACTGATGAATCAGATGGTTCAGATTTAATATTTTAAAAAACAGATGTCCATATTCTCTTCTCTATTAATATAATGTTATAATAATAGTTCTATATAAAGTATGAAATTTGAATCATTCATTATTTGATCCAATGATGATCAGATATTGTGAAAGAAAAGGAGAAAGAAGGATTCTGAAAAGATCCAGATCCTTCCAGCACAGCTGCAAGTCTCTAAATTAATCATTTGAATGAGAGCTTAATGCGTTGGCTGCTTAAGTATGAGGCTAAATACGGATGAGAAATCCATTCAGGACCTAAAAACACATACAGAAACATCGTCGAAATATTAAAAATCTACTTTATTCGATACTATCTGATCCCCCACATCCTAACCATGATACGTGGCGATTAATTGACTCCTCCCCCACCCCAGCACAACGCATATTGACCGAAATTCTGAAAGCAAGCATACATGATTGATCTCAAGGCTTCACGTAATTGACCCTGAAGCCATGAACAAATGCATCGACTCTAAGTAGCATTGCTATTACAATATTCAAAACCTCGAAAAGAAAGAAGTCAATTTCCTTCAATTTCATGAATATTCGAATGTATATTATATGTACAAAATGAGATAGCGAAATACTGCAGAATGAATTTAAGTTATTTATCCTTCATCTCATCAGGAAGAGCAGAAGCTTTGCAGATAGGACATATGTTCTTCATAGATAACCATTTTCTAATGCAGCTCACATGATAGTCATGGCCGCAACCTCTCATTGTCCCAACATCGTCCATGTACTTGTAATCTTCCTGCAATTTTTTAAATGAAAAACAAAACCCATTTAACGATTAGTCAGTTTATTACACAGAATGAGGCAAAAGAATGTGGTGGTTTTGACTTTAACACAACCTCATATGACTCCACTAAACAAAAATAAGCTTGGCACAGCAGCATGGTCCCTCTGTAGAATTTAAACGGAGCCCAACTGTGTGTAATTTAATGGGACGATGGCCCAAAAAAAAAAACAAAAGAAGGGACAACCACATTTACGAATAGCGGTCATTCAATAATCAAATGCAGTTGCCCTCATACATTACTGGCAGAATTGCGAAATCCAAAGAAGTGGTCTTTCATTGCCCAAAGTTTAAGGTTTAGTGCATAATTTATTTCAGGGGAGGAAGAAAAACATACCAAGCAGATCACACAACTTCCTTCCTCTTGACTCTGCTCGGACGAACAATATATTGATTCTGTCAAACACTTGGAAATCAACTTCTCAGACAATCCTGTGCTGACATGACCAATCCTCTCTCCCAGAGCAAGTAGTTCCTGGTCAAGCCAACCATCCAAAAATGCAGAACTATTTTACAAATGCATGCCTTTGATAACAGTTGTAAGTGGGTTATTCAAGATTAAAACAAACATAATCACCTCATAACTCATATTGTCTATGTCCATCCTCATGTCCCTATGTTGATCAATCATATTTCGAGAACCATAAAGCGGCGCACGATCAACAACCATGAAACCCTGCAATCCAAAAAAACCAAACTTCAGCCGGTTAAACATTTTTTTGGGGAGCAAAACACAGTCAATTTTATTAATATTCCTTCAGCCTGTTAAACCTAAAGGTGAAAGAAGCAGAATGATGCTGCTTATTCACATATAGAGAGAAGGGAAGGTGCTAATGCACCAAACATCACTACTTTTTTTTTTTTTTGGCCAAACAAACACCACTACTTCAGGTTAACCAAATAGAGCCAGTTGAAGACAAGACAAATGGGTATTTCCAAAATTGAAAATGTTTCATATTCCGAGTTCTGACATGAAAACTCAGTTCACCAAGATACCAAGAAATACCTCAGAGGAAAATCGATCATGAAGAATAGCCTCATCAGCTAATGTTCGATATCTCTCGCTAGATATCCTTGACCTCCCGTTTCTATCAGTATTCCGCGAACTGATGGCAGTCAATGGCCTTGGATGTCTAGAGATTAAACCTTCAGCTCCCATGTGCAATCCACCATCTGAAGGCATCATATGTCCCACGCATGAGCTTGAAGAGGCTCTAAAAGTTGGAGTTGGTGTTGGAGTAGATCTTTGGGAATAGTTACTTCGAACTCCCCTAGCAGGGTGAGTGAGATTACTGTGAAAACTTTGAGGAACAATAGGATTTATGCTTGTATCATATTCATGATGGTAACTCCCAGCGTCTACCGAAGCATTACTAACACCACTTCCAACCAGCAAGCGACTTGGCTCATGATTATATCCACTTGATTCTGCAATGTCAGGCAACGATCTCTAGCGTAAGATAAAAAGTGAAGGAAATTGGGATAATTCATATCTATTCCGATTCTACTAATTAAGGTCTAATAAACCAACAAAAAAAAAAGGAAAAAATAATCTATAAACTAACCAGATAATAATACCCTCCCAGGAGCCGGAGACATGTTCATTTGGCTCCAGTCCCTTGGCACAGTATTAGAACTATGACCAGAAAGACCCACAGAGCTAGAATGATCATTGGACGGGCCAGAAGATGAGTTGTGCAAATGGTTGCCAGATAAATGCGTCCTAGCAAGGTTGGATTCCAAATCAAGTGCAGAACGACTTCTAACATTCCTTAAAGAACCCTCACCCCTGATTGAAAGGCCACTGCCTCTGAAGGGGGGTGTCATAGTAACATGATCCCAAGGCAGAAATTGAGAATCCAAGCTTGGCTTCTCCTGCCTTATTTCTGAAGATATAGGGAGATCAGTTGAGCTTCCTGCACTGAAATATCTGCTTGTACTGCCTCTCTCACAAACTGAAGGAATTCCAGGGCTCTTTCGCTTGTGAGGCCCTCTTCCACTCCCCATGGTGAAATCAAAGAAATCACCATCAGCAACATGAAATGCTTGTCTATCACAATTGGAAGAAGGCTGGTGAGCATAGTTTTCAGAAACTGCGAAAAAAGCTCCAGGATTTGATGAACGTAAATAATGATCATGAGAAGATCTTGATGCATCTGATTGACGAGGGGGTAATTCAATGTTGATACTTGAGGATGCATATCCATTTGACATCGCGGCATTGTTCCAAGAAGCGGCCAAAGAGCTGCCATCTATAGGCATATTTTCTAGTGGATAAATAAAAGAACCATTCTCTGAAGCGCTACCCCTACCTGCAATAGAGGACCAGTATAAGCAATCTAGTATTTATGCAAAAAGGACAATAATTACCATGCAGAGTTAGTAATGAACCAAAATATAAGTGCAACCAAAATAATTACCATTATGTTGATCAGTGTGCATATAATTCCAATTCTGCTCCTGCTCACTCCCAAACATCTGGGACATGCTATATAAATGTCTATGTCCCATAACAATCAGAAACAAACTCAGAAGTCAGAATTAAGGCAAGGGTGCGGTTTAACCAGATCTACAAATAACTAGCAACCTGCAAAGCAAGAAATCATTTGAAGAATTCAATATCTAAATATAAAGTAACTTCAAAACAATCATAAAACTCAGAATATAAACAATATAATTAGTTACAGGAGACCCAAGCATTTCCAAGACTGAAAATTCAGAATAATAACACATGACGACAAAGAATAAATATAGAAAGTCTTCAATTAGATCTAAACTCTACAAAAATTGTAAATCAGAACAAAGGGGATTACTGAGTCATCACTGGCGATTATCTGCAAGAGGAAGTACAAATATATGCTGCAGATTACAAATTCTGGAACTCATAATCAATCTACATAAACTGGCCTGTAATACACTAAAAACCTGACACTCAGAGTCTCCTTAACCACAGCCTAATACCAACAGTCCAGCGTAAGTCCACTCACTTGAAGCCATCTACTCACAGATTGTCTCTCCACTGAAACAGGGACGGCTCGAGTCTGAGGCAATAAAACAAAGATGAGGGAAAAAAGCAAACACTTGGAAGAAAAAATGAGATAATTGAGATTCATATCAGTTAATGGCTTCTCACTCCATTTTGCCATGTGCAGAAGTAGGAATTAGATTTGACTAAGTGGTAAAAGAGGAGGGATTGGGAATAGGATGACTCGCACAACATTACCTGGACTAGATAACAAAGGGGCACTCAGCAGGTGTTAAGAGGTGTTAGCATTTTCTATTCTTTTCCTGCACTTGAGAAAGATGAACTAAGCACGGGCATCAGGCATGCGTATGTGCCTTGTTATCAGTAATTAGGACAAGAATTATAAAATACATACAAGTTACCATAATAAAATCCATCATCACACGTTTTTCTTGGAACTATATATCTGCACTACAATTTTTACAATATATTCATATTTACAAGAGCTTTGCATGAAACAGAAATATGAAGGCTTTTAAAAATATTTGTAGTTTACCTTAACAGTATCTGAGGGGGCCTATATCGTTAAAACAATACACAGTTAAGTTGTCTACCTTATAACAAGTAAAAGATCCAAAAAAACCTGTTGATGTTAGAAAATATTTGCCACTAGAATGAAATGCCGTGCTGCATGGCAAAGATTTCCACAAATAAAGAAAATCAAAATAAAATTGGAGTGTCAATATAGAAAAATCACAACCACCCGAAATATTCATAAAGATGATGAGCAACTTAAAAGAAGCTTGAAAACTTCAATCAAAGTTAAAGACAAAGTCCGGGAAAGCATACCAGTTAAAGTGGGGAAATCAAAGATCATATATTCGAATTGCAAAAATATAAAACCAAATGAGTAAGCTAAGGTAAATAAACTCTAAAGGAAAACAATTATTTCAAATCATTAAAATGAAAGGAAGAAATAGATCGGAGGTTGAAAATTGGAAAATCTTAGAAATATAAAATATTAAAGAGAGTTCCAAATATGAAATTTGTAGTGAAAAAAGGTTATGAAAAATTAACAAATATTTAACAATGCTCAAAGGCTGGGTAACGTGTTCACCATATATTGACTTAATTAGCCACTTTATGATTAATTTCCTAGAAAGCAAAAATACATTTTGTCAAAAATTCTTTCCTCAGAGTTTGTCTTAGTTTTATATGCAAAAATACAATTTGTCAAAAATTCTTTCCCCAGAGTTTGTCTTAGTTTTATATGTAGAGTTGATGAGACATGATAATTTTAGTTAAGAATGTCATGATTGTGGGGGGAAAACTGCATAAGAACAGGGACAGGTCTCCTATTATTCATATATCATGGTGCTTGAGACATTTCCAGCGTCGGAATACAATCAAAAAATCACATTCAACAAACTAAATCGTGACTATAAGATTGACAAAGTGCTTTCTATAAGATAAAGAAATAATACAAGAAAACACTCTAATGCCACAAAGCATACTAAAATACTAGAAAAAATATACGAGAATATAGAATTGAACAGAGGAGTAGGCTTCAGAAAGATAATTATGGCCCGTCAAATCATGTTCTCAAAGAAAGTATAGTTTGCATTGATCGTTTAATTCAGCTTATGATCATTAGCGTACCCATAAATAAATTAATAAAATAGTAATATTCATGCAAAGCATCATGGAAAAAGTATAGATTTGCTTCACCTTCCAGTTAACTAGCTTCAAGTTTGAACTAAAGATTTCTGATCTTCAGTTATTAAATGATAAGACCTTAAAAAATAAAATATGAAGGTCAAGACGGACAAGCGTATGAATATGAGTATAAACAGTACTAATAAAATGAATGGTTTCAGTATGTCAAGTTTCCCAAGGTGCAACATATTGAACACGATACAGACGGACAAGCATTTAAAGCATATTATTTTCTTTGTTTGTTTTATTAATAACTATCAGAGACATTCATAGCACTGTTCAACTTGATACAGAATATGGGCCTAATATAAAACTATTAATGACAAATTAGAAGCTTGGAACATGGTAGTCTGACAAACCACACAAGGATATCAGCCAGAAAGGGAATTGTGACTTATGATTAGTTGTCTAAGCCAAGAATGCCATTAGGATGTATAAGCCCAAGAATGAAAGCAAAACTTATTTTTCCATCTGCCATAGAATAGGTAGAAGAAAATAGGCGTCCAACATTTGGATACACTCAACACCTTGCTGATGGTATCCCCAATAACCAACTGATTCTTATCAACCAGCATCAAAGTCAACAAACCCCAAGCTCAAGTGCAAATAAAGCATCACCCAGCGACGAATCCTTGCAAACATTTAGCACAATATGAAATCCCGCCAGCATAAAAGGTCAAGTTACATCAATTCAGGGTGGATGTATGAAAGTCTTCATCAGTAACATGTTCTAATGATCCAAATTGCTGTCGCATACTATAGTGAGGCAAAAACTCTATGAAGAATGTTACTGCTACTCCCATTGTACCACCCCACTAAAGAGCACCACCTCCAAAATAGCTACCATGGACATCAGATTTAAAACAAATGATAAAAGTATTTAGCTAATGCTTTTACAACATCCATATTCCATCACCTCAGGGCATCAATTAGATCTAGAACCATGGTGTCCATGAAGCCCATGACATTCCCTAGATTGGCAGTTACACTCCACAACAACATCTTGCATCACTAGGCATCGGAACATGATAGCCCTAATGCTGCGATATCCTGAGCATAACTGCTAGGCCATTCACGCAAAATGAGTATCCAATCTAAGAAGATGGATATCCCTGATCTAAAGGCCATATTCCAGTAGAACAGTGCCTAGACAATTCTTCCGTTTACAGAGGATCTTTGATACTGTATACGTTCTTCTTCCTACATCAAAGTTGGCTTATAACATTCCATTACAGCAGCACATATCATGCTAATAAATCCTGACAAAGCAGAACATGCCACATTCATCAGCTCTAAAATCTCCCAACCAACCAAATATTCCAGCAATACCATCAGCAATTCAGATAATGCAATGGAAGAGACCAAATGAAGAAATTTACCAACTTCCAAAACCTGTACAAGGCAAATGCCAAGGGAGCACCAGCTTTCGCTAGTAAAATTGATTAGCTTTTCTGTATTATACGAACCTAAAGAAAGCACAGGGGACCATATGACAAAACCTTTTAAAGAGATTTACGAATACTTGAAGAGCGTATTGCTCTAGAAGAGTGGAAAACCAACAGAAGAGGGGCTGAAGGATACTATCCGAGGAAAACACACCTCACCAGCACATGCAGATGTATCATGTTTCATCTACAGCTCAAACTCAAGATGAAAGCATTAGGTCTGTATGGTATACTGTCAGCATCAAGAAACCTGCATAATAACAAACCATCTAAACCTAACTGAATCTAAGGAAATCTAAGGATAACCAGGGAAGGCCCCTGAGATAGATAATAATAATAATAATAATATTGCTTGATGAACATTTAGCATTTTGCGAAGCCATGAATACATCATCAATATATAATCAACCAAGCCCTAAATAACTAATTCGCACTCAACTGAAAGATCGGTCCTGTTATATGGTACCACAAACAAATTTGTTTAATTTATTTCTTTGAGAAGCCATGAAAGAACCAAACCACACGCACGAGAAAAGAAAGTGGTGATGCTGACAATTACAACTGAAGATATATTATGTATCCTGATTTCTGATTTACTAGAACGGTTGCACTACCAAATATGATATACGCCTTATCAGACCCTGATATAAACTTGGTTTCCTCTGTTGAACAGGAGGAGTACGGTAATGTTAATATGAAACACACAGCATAGTGACAACTAACAAGTGATAACTACCGTTATTACCAGGTATTTTAAGTATGTATAATTTGAGAGCTAAAGGACGTGAAAATGTGTAAAAACAAAAGCTCAAGCTCTGAAACGACCGAGGAGTTCAAATTTTTCTGAGGACGAAAAATTAATCGAACCGCAAAGCAAGAAATCCGTAAATTGAAGAAGAAAAGGAGCGGGACAGAAGCACCTAGAACAGCCTTCTCTCCTTCCACCAAACAAACAATAGAAGGCTGTTAAGATTATTTAAAGCTGGAGATGATGTATCAGAAGCAATCAACAAGAAGATCAGGAATGAAAAACCGAAACTGATCAACAGAAATATTGCGGGCACGCAGAGCAACAATTAACACAGAGAAAACGGTACGATTGTCCAGATTACAGCACAATACTGAGCATATAGAAAATTTTAAAGTAATCGTCCAGGTAGACGTGCCTTAGAAATCTGTTCGGCGCCGATGCTTGGTCAGTAACGATGTTGGATACGCAGGATGGTTTTTTTTTTTGGGGGGGGGGGTGTTTTAAGAAGAGGGTGGAGGAGAGGTTTGATCAAGGAAGGAGACAATGCTGTAACAAAGCAGTTGTCCGCATAAATAAGGAACAAGAGGAGGAGAAACCAGCAGGAAACGCCAGCTTTACCGGCAACCGATACTATCCGTATGGATTCTTCCGGTCGCTTGGCAAAGAGTGAAAATATAATACTCCTATTATACCAAGGAAAAAAAAAAAGAAGCAAAAATCGTCGTAGTGCGGACGGGATAATTACCAGTGCCACTTTTGAACTAGAATTAATTTCATTTTAACTCCCTGATTTTTTTGCCCCTATTTTTATAATTATATAACAAATAATTCCTTATATTGGATTTGGATCGTTCACTTTGCATCTTTGTATAGATTTTGACTCTCATCAAACCTTTGTATTGTCGTGCACGGATTCGATTAAAAGGTATTAGAGGTGGCCCGACGTGCAGCTCTTACTTTACTTTAGGAATAGACCTAACTCCAGATAGCTTTATTAAACCCTGTCTCAGGGTGTGCTTATATTTATCAGGTACTCCTTCTCCTCTATTTAATATAAAATTTATTTAACTAGTTTAAATAAATTAAAAAAATTAGACAAATTAATTAATTATAAAATACATGACTTGTTTTTCTTAAAAATATCATAACTATTTTTTTTAATACCCTACCTGTATCTTCTATCTTAATTATAGTTGATAAGAGTAATTTAGAAAAAATTAATAAATATAAAAACTAGATCTTATATCTAAGATCAAAATTAATTTAACAATTAAGTTCTATATTAAAAATTAGACGAGTATTATTTATCCCCATTGCCCTAAAAAAACACACAGAAGAAAATAATCTTTGGATCAGATTGAATGCATGAAAACCATAGACAAGGGCTGTTTATTTTGTCGACGAAGATTGTGAGAAGATTTTGTTATTGTCGAACGTTGGCGACATCAAAACATGATTGGGCAATGACAAGTATGTAACAGTGGGGGTGTTAAATTTATTGCAATAAAATGTCATGTGATATTGTTGTTATGACCGTGATCCTGGATAAACATGTTAGATCGAAATTAATGAAAGCACGTGTAAAAAATATCCGACTTATCATCAAATGAATTTTTTTTTTTTAAAAAAAAGAGGCATATACGATAAACCTAATCAATCTGATTAAAATCTCACATAAACCAAATTTTTACATCCGCGCCATGCAAATAAGCATTAATCCTCTGTCTGATTAGAGGGAAGACAGATTCTAATTCAACTTAAAAAAATGGATGAGCGAGACTATAATATTTCAATCAAAATAAGATGTAAGGTGAAAAGGTAAGCAAAATAATTTAAAACTTTTATCCCCATTTCTATATTTTTTTTTAATTTAACTTATTAAATTCTTCTCTTTTCTTCTATCCTCCTCGATTATTAAACAAATAATAAAAATAAAACGTTAAGTAAATACTATCAATTTAATTATTTTATAAAAAAGTAATATATTTTACAAAACGTGGGGCTTTTTACCGATGTTATTACAAAAAGTAACGCTGTTTTGCAGGTGTAAAATAGAATTTTATAGATAATAAATAATAAATAATTATAATAAAAATAATACAGATAACTAGTATATCTTTTTAGTCGTCACGTGATGCACATGACAATTTTAGTGAATAAAAGATGGAAATGAACAGTGACTTGTTTCATTTTAGAATCTGTTATTCGGTAGATATATTTAGATATAGATGACCAATTTTAGTCTAGATATGCAAATTAAAAGACTAAACCATGTGTTTTTTTTTTTATGAATTTTGTTTCTGTGGTATAATATAAGCTTATAAATGACACTCCTCTCATCCTAAATACAAAACCCTTATATCAGTATATATAAATATTTCATATTTAGGACCGGAGGAGTAATATATTTTCTTTTCCTCCAAGTCATTTTAGAGTTTTCTATTCCTATACGTGAATATTAAGAATATAAACAACTTATTTTTAGAACTTGTTACATGTGTGCTTATTGAAAATATTAAAAAAAAAATTGTTATTTCTAAATCTTATGAGTTCAGAAATGACAGCGTTTTCCCCGTGTTCATTTCTGTTATCAACAAGTCGTTGGATTTTTCCCCAGTGTCTCGAAGTCTTTTGGGTGGCACACAAAGTTTTTTTTTTTCCCGTTTAATTATATCTACACAACGCATCACAATGTGAATTTATAACTGATTTTATACAAATTCAAAAGCAATCTTTCATAAAATGCACTAGTGATTGTATTCTTGAATTCATCCATGATGATGTATAAATTATAAGATTAACTTTCAATTCACAGTTGGATTTCTCATAGGCACACAGCTAACTTAAATTCAGGAGTGACCTTTCATTAGCTATTATTCGCGTTTGGTGGCAAGGACAACCTTGTAAAATCATTCATCTCTTAATAATTTAATTGCAAATAAAAACTACGGTCCTTTCAAAACATTTCAATAATTAAAGGCCGTCAAGCCTGCAGAAGGTTTACAATTGTCTTCTTTTTTTTTTTTCTTTTTCTGTTTTAAAAACAATGTGCTTTTTGAACACAAAAAAAAAATTATAAGGCAATATCCTCAACTGCACTGCATATTACTATAAATTATAAATATTTGGCTCTAAGACTATATTGAGGGGAAAAAATCTGCGTCCTCAAAATATTAGCTGCATTCTCATAATGAACGTTGCTTGTGACTTGTGAGACCTGTATAATAATTTTTAAATCGAATTTTTTTTTACATTATAGTTTCGACGCTGCTATGTTAGAGTAAAACAAAATATATAGATATTCAATAATATGCATTACACCCAGCACAATGTAAATAATAATAGTAAATAATAATCATATGAGTATATGACAGATGCGGACTGGAATCATGCGTGTGGATGCTTAATGCTCGACGAAAAATCATTTTTACTGTAAATATTTGGTTTTTTTGCCCAGTGAGTAAGTGATTATATTTGAAATGTTGAAATTAATGAAAAAATGTTAGTTTTAAGGGAAAATGGCAAAAAAAAATCACCAAAACAGAAAAATTACAAATAAAGACCCATGACAATATTAGTATGGATTTTAACAACAACAATATGGGTTTTGATAATAATTTCTATAAACCAGGCCCTATGTATAATTTTTTTATTCTGGCTGTTATTTTTTTGGCCATTTTCCCAATTTCCCTTAGTTTTAATGAGAACTTGTTCTAAGTTCTGTTTTGTGGTGGTCAAACTAGAAATGAAGGGCCGCCATACTCCCGTCCACCCATGTCTTTTCATTGTTTTAAGCTGCGCAGAAAGATCGAATAAGGCGAGACGAATATTATTATTCATTCAGACTTGGGAACAACCACATTGTAATTGCAACCCATATGCAATTGGGAGGAATAGAAAAATTCCCACTGGATAATGATTCATTCATGGAAATACAAATTGCATCCTCGGGGCAACACGTCCCTTTGGTTCATCGTATGTCCACACAATTACGCGATGCCGTGTAAGGAATTTTACAGTGAGCTGGTGTTAGTGAATTATATTTCAGTTCTTAATATAAAACCTAATTAATTAATTTAAGTAAATTAAAAATTTTATTTAAATTAGTTAATATAATATTTTTTAAAAAAACACTATAAGCATCTTTCTTAATTCTTTTTTTTGTTTCTTACTTGATTATTATCGGGGGAATATTAATAAGCCTTTGAAAAAAATTGATAAATATATAAAATAAGTCTTATATATAAGACTAGTATTAATTTTTCAGTTAAATCCTATATTAAGGGGGTGTTTGGTAACCTTGACAAACTCCTCCATATATTTCTTTCGTAAACCATAAAAGTACTTTTAAAACTATGATTTGATTTCTATCCAAATATCTTCTAATAATCACAAGAGTAATTAATTAATTATTGTTAAATGAAACTTGTTGGGATTAAATAAATGTGGTTACATAATTTGAAGAGATGGGAGAGACAAGGAACCTAACACTACAATGAGTTGACAGTTTTACAAGAAAGGCGTAAAGGAAGGGGGATGGGCCCCTCTCAACTCGTGACGACACGAGCCCTATTCGGTGCTCATCAGGTGATGAGTATTTGATTGTCCAGATTAGATCTGGACAGCTCATATTTAATATTATTAAACAATTATTTTAAAATAGAAAAAATTATATTTTTAAAGAATGATAGTTAAGATATTATTTTTATTTTTTATCTTATACATATTAAAATAATTATTTTTAAAAAATAAAAATAAATCTGGACGGTCTAGATTTATTTTTATTTTTATTTTTTAAAAAATAATTATTAGACGATCATGATGAGCACCTAATATAAATTTGTGACGACACTGGGAAACTGAAATGGGAACACGATGAAGCCATGATTTGACCGAGTTAATTATGTTGAGGTAGCGCCTTAGTGCGCATTGCCGGACATTCAAGTAACTAGCTACGTTAAATAGCAAGTTTACAAAGTACTTCTATCATATTTTATATAATAAAAAAATCTTAAAATGTATTAATTTTTTATTAAAATACACTAACAACTTTTAACTTTAACTCTATTTAATATATATATATCTTCAAAAAGAATCGTTAATCTATGCTATAATGAATAAATGAAAAAATAGTATATTTATATTAAAAATTTAATAAAATAACTTATAAATAGAATAAAAAACTTATTTTTTTGGCTTGTAAATAGAATGAGAGGAATGTGTATAAAAAAAAAAAAAAAAGCCCACAGCTCTAGCAAGGAACAGGCATGACATGTATGGTAATACATCCAGATTTATAGGGACCGGGGACGGGGACAAATAGAGTGCATAGCTCATAAGAAACTCCATTTACGCCCGCGTAAAGCTGGGAGCTCCCCTGGGAAAGATTGCAAGTGAAGCAGGCGTGGCGTGGGCATTTCAACCACAGAGCCAACTGAAAAGGAAACAGGGAAAGAAGAAATAGACGGGTGTGCTCCTTTTATTAATTAAAATAATTACTTTTTCTGTTTTTTGTTTTTATTTCTATTAGTTTTCATGTTTCCTCTCCTTTATAAAACTTTGACTCCAATGGCCTCTCCATTGCCTCCTTAAATTATAAACATTTCATTGACCCACATCCTAATTTCTTTTTTTTTGCCCACAACCAAATCCCAGTTTCATTAGCTATATTTTTACCTTCTTCTATTATTCTTTCCATGCACAAGTATACATTGTGATCATTTGACTTATATATAGATTTTGATTTGATCTCTTAATTTTAAAAAAGTATATTTTAGTTATTTAATTTTGATATTGTTAGTCTTAAATAATAATGTTTTTTGAAATGATTATAGTTGTGATAATCATAACCAGATGCACATATTGATATTGATTCTCGTAAAATAATATCATTTGCATGTAATTAAAATAAACATGACTAGTAATTATAGCTGTAATTAAGTTGTCCTTGTCAATTTTGTTTACAGTGCAGTGTGGCATAGAATGAATGCTTACATAGAATTTTAAACATCACAAACAGACAGTTCGGCGCGCGCACAAATTAAAATCCATGAATTATACGGCCCATCACCGTCTTTTCCTCAGAGTATAAAATTTTAACTTGGAGTGATTTACAATTTATTTTGATCATTAAGCGTGAGGCATCGCTCATGTTTTAAGTTTTGATGTGCCAAAGCCGTAAATAAAAATATTGCATATAAAATTACCAATTAACAATGTATCGTTTTACCCGAAGACAACTGGCTGGCCAAAAAGAAAATTGAAAACGTGACCAAATTAGGTGAATAAAAAAATTAGTCAAAGAAAATAAATATATAAAAGTTTTTTTCTTCAAACATATCCTTTAAAGGAAACAGAATATAAGAAAAAGAATAAAAATTATTAAAATAAAAAAATATAAAAGAAAAAAAAATGTATAATGGAGAGATGGATGAATAATGTTTCAGCAAATGAGATAGTAAATATAATAAGTAATTGATAGGAATTAAAAAAATAGTTTTAAAAAAATTTGAGACATCTTATAACATAAAAATGGTAATTACTTTTTATAAAAAGTAAAGGCAGAGTACATTAGTAACTATATATATTTGTTAGTGATTTCCATTTCCCTGCAAAACCCGGAGGTGGGTGGATTCCATCATCTAAAATTGCTGAGATGGGGAATCATGCTTCCTGAGGGAGCCAAAATAGCTTATCGGACGGCAAGGACTTATTTAAACACGTATGATTAATTAAAATATTTTTCAAAAATAATATTTTTTATTATAAATAATTAAATTAATGCTCTTCGATGCCACAGGCTGTTAGTTGCTGGCAAGATCCAATGAACTGGAGCGCCGTTAACAAAGAGATTCAACTCTTCTTCAACCTTTTTTTGATTTTTTTTCCTCAGAAGAACTCTCCTTCAACTACTCTTCTACCGGTTACTACTTGAGCAGATTGGATTTTGATTCTGAGTAACAAAATGAGCGTTATCGACATTCTAACCAGAGTTGATTCGATCTGCAAGAAGTACGACAAATACGACGTCGACAAGCACAAGGATTCCAATATCTCCGGCGACGATGCCTTTGCTCGACTCTACGCTGTAGTTGAAGCCGACATCGAGGCAGCTCTTGAGGTCGGATTCTCATTTTTATTTCCTTTTCTCATGATCAGATCGTCATTTTTCTTCATTCTTTATTCATCGCTTCAGAAAATCAATGACAGGTTAGTGTTGTGGGGTATTTCTTTTGTTTTAAATTTTCAGTGAGTTTGGTGGGCAAAACGATAAATGCAGTAATGTACATTGGTGGAGACTTTCAGGGCAACTCTTGCTCTAATTGATGAATTTTTCTCTAAAAAACTGTCCCCCCCCCCCCCCAAAATCTAATATCATGTGGTACTCAATTCTTTGTAGAAAGCAGAAACTGCTTCCAAGGAGAAAAGCAGGGCATCTGTTGTAGCCATCAATGCTGAGATTCGTCGTACTAAGGCTCGGTTGCTGGAGGAGGTCCCCAAGTTGCAACGATTGGCTGTAAGAAGGTTGGTTTTTGCTTTCTCTGTCAGATCTAGGTTCCATCAATTAAAATGGTTCTTCTTACGTATTATTACTCCTGAGTTTCTGCCGTGTGAGAATGTAAATTTATGTAATCTAACTGAAATTGTGGGAATAAAATTTGACAACGAGAATAGAGAAGACTACATAAAAGTACATTTTTTGGATCTTTGCTGGGTATGTCTTCTCAATAGCTTAATCATGTACTTTTAACCTGACTTGCTAGTGTGCAAAGCTTTAAAATCATTCATTCTAATCCGTGCCATATTCATGATAAAATATTAAATATAATTTATCCACAGGTAAAAGGGCTTTCCTCGGAAGAATTTGCTGCTCGTAATGATTTGGTTCTTGCACTGCCAGAGAGGATCCAGCTATCCCAGATGGGACCCCTGCTGCACCCAAAAAAAACAGGAGGCTGGGCTGCTTCTGCTTCACGCAGTGAAATTAGGTTT